CAGCAGCACGGTGGACGTGGGTGCGAAGAGGCCACAGGCATCGAATCGGGGTCGTGGCTGTGGACGATGGACTGTGAACCACACCATGGGTGCCAGGAGGTGGAGCCCTGTTCTGCGCTACAGCCGACAGTGCTGAGCCCCGAGCAGATGTGGGAGGTGGTGCTGGCACCGCAGGATGGGACCGTGGTGACCAGCAGGGAAGCAGGAGGCTGCTGGGCCTTGGTGCTGCTGCCACGCAAGCAGTGAGAGCAGAGGGTGCCCGCCCCACCCCGTACCTCGATCGCAGGCGTGCGCTGTTTGCTTCAGATCCTTTTGTCTCTGCAATTAATGGTCGTGGTCTGTTCTGGTCACCCCGGCTCCAGCTGGAATAAACATCATGTGCCAAACAACTCACTGCATCTGGCTGTTTTGCTGTATGGTCTCGCAACTACACAAAGATCAGTTACTCGTATCCATGAGAGAAAACCAGAGTTTTCCCTGAGCTTCTGCATCATTCCTTGTAGGCTGGGGTAAGGGGGCGATGAAGAGTATCTCATGGGCTGCCCTTTCAATACAGATTACAAACAGACAGTGCATTTGTGTGTCCCAGAGGCCGAGCAAATTCACATTTGTTTGTGTGCAAACAGTGTTTCTGTTACAGGAGGAGGCTATATCTGCTCTTGGTGGCAACTGTAGTTTTGTATCTGACATACAAACAGAAAGTGCCCACTCCTGTGATCCCCAGCACAGGGTGTCTCACCCCACAGGCTGTGCCCAGGCTCTGCACAGCTGCCTCGGTGCTGCTCGCCCTCCCTGACCACACCTTGGGCACCGCTTTGCATTTGGTCACTGCTGCTGGAATGCGCTGTCGTGGAAGCAGATGCGTATTCTGCATATCTCCCATTGTCTAGCTTAGGCTGGTAGAAGACTCTTAAAGTCTATCAACTTTTGGAAATAAAGAAATTCAAAATGCTGGGGTTTATTCTTATTTTTTTCCCTGTGGTTGTTGGTGTCTTGGCAAAAGAACATTCCAAACACATGAAGCTCAATAGTTTCTCTGCAAGACTTTTTTTATGTTTGGCTTAGACTACAACGAAGTTATGGTTTTTTTCTGGAAAACAAAATATGACTTGGAAGAAAAATACTGTTTTGGGAGAAGATGAAGACAGGACCATTGTTCTTCCTTGCCTCTGAAGACAGTGCCATACAGTCTGAGGTGGATCATTCAGATGTGACGGAAGCCTGTTGCTACTGGGGCTGTGGTGCTGGTTGGGTGTTGTACCCTCTTACACATCGTGAACATAAGACTGACTTTCCATGGAAAAAGCCCTTCAAATCCAGGACGTGGGGGTAGCTCTCACTGCTCTCTGCTAGCAGCACGACCCCAACATGGACCACCAGTGGCTTTGGTCCCAGCAAGCTCGTTTTTCAGTCGTTTGTCAGTAACAAATCACATGGGGTATTCTGCTGTCATTGACTAGGGACTGCAGTGGATCCCTTGAGTGCTCCTGCCTGCTGCCTGTTTGTGGGTATCGGGCTGCAGCACCTTGAAGTCTCTCAAAGCTTTTGCAAAAGCGCAGTCGATAGGTGAGCTGTGGCTGGCGTTGGAGGCCAGAGGCCTCGAAATAGTGATTTCCAAGGTGCCTATTCACTTCTTCACAGGTGCTCTGTGCTTCTAGTGGCACTCTGTTAAGGAGCTTTCTGGGTCTTGTCTGGCGATGACAAGCATTAGAATTAAGAAGCTTCTCTAGGATGCTTCAACAAATATGTTTTTTGGGCAATTCTTGCTGTTGTGGGATAGGAGGGAGGATTCAGCTGCTGAGAGCAGGGTCGCTTTGGCGCCTCAGGTAAGAGCTGTAGGGGTAGCTGTGCTCGTGCCGTTAGCAGTCTAATGGAATTTCCCTGGTGTTTTCCTCAGAGAGCCATATGCCTACGGGGATGGCCGAGATGCCAGACGCGACCGCTCCCCTCTTCGGGGGAGCCCACGGAGAGACCCCAGAGATGGCAGGGATGGTAGAAACGGGCGAGATTCCAGAGACATTCGAGCTAGAGACATGCGTGACGCCAGAGACCACAGGGACCTCCGAGACCCCCGGGATATCCGGGATCCAAGAGACTTGCGGGACCCGCGTGACATTAGAGATCTTCGAGACCCACGGGAGCCACTGTATGATCGATACAGGGATCCTCGGGATATGAGAAACCCACGAGATGTGAGGGATCCACGGGATATGAGGGACCCATGGGATATGAGAGACCCTCGGGACCCGTTGTACAGGTAATCTCCACAGGAACTTATTTGCCAACGTGATTTTATGGCGTTCCTGCCTCAACGGTCACACCACTTTGAGTGGTGGCAGGTGTTTAAGGCGGGAAATAGCTCTGGCGGGGGATAGTTGGGTGCCTAGTTTGTGTCTTGTGGGGAGCGGGCGGGTACTTCAGAAATTAAACTTGAGGAAGGTCTGTGTGTGATGCATTGGCCGAAGTTAGTGCCTGAGATTGTGCTGGAGCGTGGAAACCCTTGCTTCTGGGAATGTTGCAGACGAGATGAACCTTATGACCGTTACCTTCGCCTGGAAGACTGCTACCGGCGGAAGGATGACTCTTACTATGACCGTTACAAGGAGCATTTTGATAGAGCACCGGCAAATTCAGAAGGTGAGCACCTGTAACGTTTTAATTCTCCCTCTGGGAGGAGGCGGGAGGCGCCTGCAGTGCCGAGTGCCTTGCGTTCTGCAGCGCTCCAAGAAGGTCCAGAGGGTGTTACTTGTTCTGTCTGGTGCCTTTCAGACCGCCTGAAACGTGAGGAGCGGCGCCGAGAGGAGCTGTACCGCCAGTACTACGAGGAAATCAAGAGACGTTTTGATGCAGAGAGACCTGTGGATTGTTCTGTGATAGTGGTGAATAAACAGACAAAGTAAGAAAATAGTTATGAGCAATTTTATTATTGTATAGTACAAGAAAACGGAATTAAACTTAGTCCTGCCGTGAGGCTGTTTGTCTCACAGGTTGCTCTCGAGAAGCTTAGCTGTCGAGCCCTCAGGAAGTTACAGCTCCTGTTGCTGTGCTGGGAATACGTGTTGATGAGATGGAGAAACGCTGTATCTTGTGCTTTGTTTTTATTTCCTTCTTGTCACCTATCACTATACCTGCTCCTGATGCTTTTCTACCTACTCCTGATGGCAGTCTGCTGTCGTGACAGGTTATAGTGTCCTGTACTTGTCACTTGTGGGCTGGCTGACCCAGAGCTCGCTGCGTGCCAGCCAGCAGGTAGTGCAGAGCAGTGTCAGCACGGAGTCGTGGGGTTGCTTGGTTCAGAGCTCCTGTCAGACCCGTTACTGGCCAGATAATGGTCATTGCTGTTAATCCGATGTACAGGAAACGTGAAATCACTGCTGAAAGTGGTCATGACCGATATCAAAAGCATGTGTAAGTGGTGACTGGGGTGATCTCGTGTGGCAGTGTGAGCACTTACTGGGGTGACGGGTGGGCGCTGGGTGTGGAGCAGAGGGGTGCTCCGATGCAGTGGGAGGGGGCTGCAGTGATGGTACCAGTCTGATGCCTAGATCTTTGCAAATAGACATATTGAAGAAGAGCAAATATGTAAGTAAATCACAGATCTGGCTTGAAGTCTGAAGATGTTTATCAAGGGGAAAATTAAAGCTCTGTCTCCCTGGCCCTTTGAAAGAAAGATCATGAGTTCTTTCGCTTCGCTCTTATCTGTGAGGCAGAGGGAGGAGGTGAGTGCTTGCCTGATCTATTCTGAAATCAGAACAAGAGAAACAGTAAAACTAGAAAAAAACTTGTGTGGTTTGCTTTTAGTGGAGTTAATCACCTACTGGAAGAAATCATGAAAGGAAATTTTAGGTTCTTTATCCCTCAGTGACTAAAAGTCTTTGGAAAATATTGTAAGAGACCGTGAGTTATTGTATTGATAGAGGGAGAATTTGTGTGTACAAGAGGATAGGCTTAATATGCTAAGGATCGTTTTGATCTGTAACAGCTAAAAACCTTAAGAGCTGGAGTATGTTAATAATTCTTGGTTACTGAAGCATTGATGACACCTGCAGTAGACCTGTTGGAAGGTGACTCCCAGGTGACTTGGATACACGGCCAATGTACCTTAGAAGGCCTTAAAAAGACACTTGGTGGAGGGGAACAGTTCTAGTCGCTGTTACAATGTCTGTATCCAAAGACAACGAGTTGATCCACTTTCAGAAGGTGTGGGTGCATGCAGACCGAATTTCTCAGCCTGCGGATGCTGTCAGTGTGGCAGGTTTGGTACAGAAGTGTACTGAGCTTAAAGAAAGACTTGAAAACTTCCAGCTCAGCAACATCAGCTGCAGTTTGTGCTTGGAGTGGGAAGTCTGCAGGACAGTGGATGCAGGAGCAAGGGATCCACTGGTGCTGTGTTGGGACTGGGTTAGAGCAGGAAGCGGCTGGTAGAACAAAAAAGCAGGACAAGGAGGAATAAGTTGAGAAATCCTGAGCGTAGCACAAGTGACCAGCTGCTGTAGGTTGGCTGCTCTGCTGTGTTCCCCTTAGATCTCTGCAGGCATCAGTTACCTCACTTAACAAGTTCAGTTTAAAGACAGTCGTGTGCAAACAGATTTATAATATTGCAAATCCCTTTGCAAACACTCTCTTTTGCAGCTAAGCTAAGGCTTAAATGGTAATTTATTTCCATTAAACTGAAATGACTGGTTCAGATCAAAATAAGGACTTTTATATTGTTGTAATGAGATTGCTTCAGTACTGGCTTTGGCAAGCCATCAGAAAAGTGAGTCTAAGATGCGGGAGAGGGTGAATGTGCCAGGTTTCTGTTCTGTATGTGACTGACTTGTTAAACTCTGCTGGCTTTGCTTTGTGGTAGGGAGTACGCGGAGTCGGTGGGGCGGAAGGTGCGGGATCTGGGCATGGTAGTGGACCTGATCTTCCTCAACACAGAGATGTCCCTGACGCGAGCCCTGGACGATGTGAGCAGAGGAGGGTCTCCTTTTGCCATTGTCATCACCCAGCAGCATCAAGTTCACCGCTCTTGCACTGTTAACATCATGTTTGGCACCCCACAAGGTACTGAGGGCTCAGGGGGCTCTGTGGTCACTCTGAACTGCTCAAAGTGCTGCTTTAAAACACTTAATTACCAGCGGAACCACACAGTTCAAAGTTCGTCCTTGCTGTAACATAAGTAGTAATTAATGACTTGACACCGTGTCGTAAATGTGAGTATCGTTATTTACCAGCTTCCGTAATACTACATTTGTCCCTTGTCCAAAGGACTGTCTTAATTTCTGCCAAGAGGGACTCTGGGCTGCATTCGTAGCACCTAACGTTACCGGCCTTTGTGTCTGAGGGCAGGTCACGATCCGCAGCTCTTGAAGTGACTGCCTTGCCCTGGTAGGTCTCTGAGTAATAACAGTCCAACCTCGGTTTATCGCTTGTTGCTCTCAAAGAGAGCGTGTTTGGAATGTGACAAATTACAGGGCAGATGTTAAAACCAAATGTGATTTAAGGAAAACAGAAGAAGGAGCATGTGCTCTGTCAAGGTAGAAATCTGATCGTGAAACTGTGAAGAATTATAAGAAGGTGGAACTATAGAGTGACTGGGTGTATGTGCTCCACCTTTTTAGTGCCATTTACACTGGTCACATCACTTTCCAACTCAGGGTGTGACTTGGTTGTGAGCGTGCGGGTGGGTGTGTTAAGAAAGGTCCTGTCAGAATGTGACCTCGGGAAGCGTCCTGTCACTCTCACCACAGCCCTATTCACGTACTCCCCTTACGTGCGTGGCTTGTTGAGCCTTCAAAGGTTTTTCTCCTTTATTGTGTTCCCAAGTCATGTTTTGTGAGGTTCATCTGGGAAAGTAAACTTCTGAAGGCACAGCCACTGTTTTTTGTGGGTTTGCTGACTTCTAATGTCGGCTGCAGATGTGACAGGAGGGTTCTCTCATTTCCTGCAGAAATACAGCTCATGCACTTTTGCTGGGCTTTCCACCACCCCTGGTTTTAACTCCTTTGGTATAACATTCATCCTCCTGCCAAAGCTTCTCTGTAGTGGATCTGATGATGCGTCAGATCTGATAAGAACCCCAGGCATGAACTATATGTGGCTCTTTCTTGAGATTAAATATGCTCACATGAACCACACAGGGCTTCCGTTCCCTGTTTCAGGGACCTCTTCCACGGCTCGTGCGAAGTGTAATGTTAGAGCGAACAACCAGCGTCCTGGTACAAGGAGAAGGGCGGCAGGATCTGATGTTCTGCAGATGTAAACGGTGCCCGGAGCTTTGGTAAAGGCTCTTCTGATCTCCCTGCCTCAGTCTGTGTTCAGGGGAATGTCTGCACATGTGTTTTGTGAGGTGGAAATAGTGGCCACAAAAACTTGAAAAGGCAACTGCAAAAAATCCACACAAACGAGCAACGTTGGAATTGACCATTCTTGTGGTATTACAGAAGAACCTGATTGCTGCTTATTGCCCTAGAGTAGTAAATGTAAGTAGCAGCGTGACGTGGAGCCAGCGCTGCTCTCCTCCCCGTCCCCTGCGCACACGGTGTGAAGGCATCAGCAGTAGGAACCAGGAAGTGTCCCCATCGCTGCCCTTCTCTGGGAAGCTTTAGCAGCCTTTGGAGGGCAGGTTTTGCATCTGTCCGAGGGTTTAGCACTAGAGTGGCTGGAACCGGCTCTTCTTGGAGCACGGAGAGTTTATGTGAGAGGTAGAGGGAGCTGTTTTCCATTAACTGGGTGAGAGTCAGGAAGGACGTTTCTTGAGCTGACACAGTATCTTCTCAGGGCCCTCTGCTGCAGAGGAAAAGGACGGCCTTGCTGATAGCCTTGAGCTTTCCATTGCCGTAGGAAATTGGACGGTTCCTCTGTGCCTGGGAAGCTTCCCAAGTCTACGCTTGGAATCCCAAAGCGGCACCTTTCTGCTGAATGAGCTGTGCTGGTGGGCGTGAGGCGGGGCACCTCCTCTTGACGTCGCTGCGGTTTACTGAAAGCGTTTCTTTCCCTTGTGTAGAGCACCGCAACATGCCCCAAGCTGACGCCATGGTGCTGGTGGCGAGGAACTACGAGCGGTACAAGACTGAGTCCCGGGAGAAGGAGCGTGAGGAGATCGCCCGGCAGGCTGCCAAGATGGCAGATGAGGCTGTTCTGCAGGAGCGGGAGCGCCCACCCCCCCTGGAGGAGGGTGTCAGAGGAGGTCACCCCCCAGGGATCCAGACGCTGTTGAACCTGCTGGCAGACAATCGCTATCTCACTGCTGAGGAGACTGATAAAGTAATTAATTACTTGAGAGACCGGAAGGAGCGGTTACTGAGGGGAAGCACAGATTCTCTGCAGGGTGAGTTTCTCGGCCCCAGACGAGGCCGTTAACCGTGTGGTTTGTGGGCTCGCTGGGCTGGGGCAGGAAAACAGTCCTGGGATGGCAGTGTTGTAACTCCCTCACGTGGGCCCTCTTGTTACTGAGATGAATGCGTCCTTGGAAGCCCTGAGACAATTCAGATCTTTCATGTGAAAGAAATTTATACCAGATCCTCTTGGGGAAACTGCGGGACTGCTGCAGCTGGTTTGGCTGCTGCGTGAAGGACAACGGTTCTGCTGGGTGGTTTGGGTTCCCCAGAGCTGCGCTGCCCTTCTGCTCTGGTGGTGGGTGTTCGCTGGCACTCGTGGGTTTGGTGGCTGTTTCAGCAGCTCTCTTCAGGTGCCCCATCAAGGGCATTTGCAAAGTGTTAACCCTCTTCCCTTTCCTCCCCAGCACCCATGTCAAGACAGTCTCTGGGGGCACCCTCAGGATCATCTCTGGGTAGCCAGTCCAGCCTTCCAAGCACTCAGGCTCATCAGGGTTCACAGCCTCTGGTCTCTGCTCCTTCTGTTCCAGTGTCCTCTTCTAATCCTCAGCAGGAGCTTCAAGCAAAAATCCTCAGCCTCTTCAACAGTGGGGCAGCAGCAGCTGCTGTAGCAAACAGCAGTTCTGCGGCCTCTGCGGGCACCTCGAGTGGCACTCCAAACCAGAACTTCACTAACGTGGCTGGCGCTCAGGCCCGGCCAGCACAGATGAGCGCTGGAAATTTAAACCAGCCTCCACAGAGATTGCAGGCTCCAAGCACGCAGCTTCCTGCTCTGCAAGGCCCTTCAAGAAATGCAGGCCCAAGGCCTGGAGCTCCTCCACAAGCTCAGTCGCTCTATGGTCAGCACCAAAATCGCCTCCCTGCACCTGGCAACGTACCTGCTCAAAGGCCAGTGTCTTCCGGTATCAACTTTGACAACCCCAGTGTACAGAAGGCCTTGGACACCCTCATCCAGAGTGGTCCTGCGCTCTCCCACCTCGTGAGCCAGACCGTGGCCCAGGGGCGAGCAGGGTCCTCAGCCCAGCAACCGCTGGGTTCCTTCCAGCGGCACTATTAGAGCTGAGCTGCCGGGCCCTCTTCCCTTCCCTTTGCCATTCCATACTTAGAGCTGTTTAAAGTCTCCTGTCCTTGGCACAGGACACCTGCCCCTGGACATGCATGTCCTCTCCCCTGCGGCGAGAGCGCGCCCCCAGAGGCATTGCTGCTGACTGTTGCTAGCGCTGCCCTTCCTCCCCTCAGCCTGGTTCGCAGTGTTGGGAGAAGCACGCTCTGTTTCCTCAGCAGCACGACGCTAAGAGCCGCTTCGGCTCATCGGTCCTTTTGCCCACTTCCAGCAGCTGCTGCAGTGACAGCCCTCGTGCATTTTCCTCACTCCCGGTAGCTGGGGCACCTTCGTGTTGCGGTGCAGTCTGCCCTCGCTGAACGGCCTCAGTGTAGTGTTGGGTCAGTGGTTTTGAGGAAATAGGGGACTGAACAGAGCGACGCGCCGACTGGGCCTCTTTGGGAGACCCATCTTTTTGGAACGGGCACTGTTTTTCTCTTTACTCTTTTAATTTCTTTTTTTATATGGCATATAAGCCAGTTGGAAAGTACAGTGGTAGTGCTAGCAGTTGGAACTCGTGAAGCACAGGCCTGACCACTACTCAATAACCTGGGACCTGACGTTGTGTCCTGGCAGCGTGAGGAGGAGAATCGCTCCTCACCTTGCCCAGCTCACGGGAACCGGCAGTTTTGGTCCAAGCACTGTGGCAGATCTGGGACTCAAGAGCTTCCAGCCAAGGCAGAGATTTCAAATGGTCTGTCAGTTTTACGACACCAAGTAGTCAGTGTTAAGATCAATCTGCTGAATTTGGCCTGTAAATTTCCTTCTCTTATAACCTTGCTTTGGGATGGTTGGTTACTGTAGCCCAGCAGCTCAGCCGCGGCCCGGCTGGCGCGCTGCTGGCCCTCCCTTGGGAATACCTGCAGCCAGGTACCGGGTGGTGAACGTCTGCTCTCTGAACCTTCATCCCACTGTCCATTGGTGTTTTGTCCATCTCACGTGGAGAGGCAGTGCCAACATGCAATACCACGATTTTGTACATTTTTTCAACACTTTGGCAGCTGCAGCGGACAGTCGAGTGGAAAACCAGGCAGTGATTCTTCACTGTGTTTTTAACCAGTACCACACTTTGATACCAGCACACAAAACATCTCCGAACTACATGGTCCTCCCCGACAGCCTTCTTAGAGTCCGGAGGCTTCCTGCAGAGAACCAAGAGAAGCTAAGCAAGCAGTTTTCTTGGAGCAGGGGATTTTCTTTGTCCCAGGTGGTTTGTGTAGTAGCATTTTTTTTTGTCTCTGTGCTGTTAACAAGAGGATATTACTTTCTAATAAAAAGGCAGGAAAAATGTTTGGTTGCATTTTTGAGACTTGGCAGCCCAGCTGGTGCCGGAATACATCGTTCCATCATATTTGCCATTACTCTCTTCCAGATGAGCTGTGTCAGGTGCTGCCTGGCACTGGATGCTGAGCGGGAAGCGTACAAACCTTTCTGTTCTGAGGTACCTCACAGGTACTTGCTCCTGCAGAGCAGGCTGGGACGGTCTCAGGCAGCTCAGCCTGGGTGCCCAGGCAGGGACCCTCGGCTG